AATATAATAGTATGCGTAAGAGGCACGAGTTAAAATGTTGTTTCCCCATACCTAAAATTATCCTGAGATAATTCTTGATTACACTACTTTGTACCAGTAACGAAGCACAATTCCCAGGAGCATGATCGAACATTTTTGAAAGAAACGAGCCATTTCCGCTATCTTCAAGAGCAATCGGTAAAAGCGCGAATCTCACGACGTAGAGAGAGAGACCTCAAGGCACGGTATTGATCGCCGCGATCAGACTTACGAGATTATTTATCGCGCGCGCGATCTCTGACAGCGTTAAGATTTAAATGGCAAGCCACGTGGCGCAGAGCGTCGCGGTCAGCCAGGTTTTCTCAATTTCGAAACGCGTCCCACGGTGGAGTACGCTCGGAATCGCTTAACAAAAGCGATCGTTCCGTTCTTCAATGGAAAGGCTACGTTTTTTACGTTACACGCACGGAGAAAGAACACAAGCGCGTTCGTTAAGCATCGCGTTTTCTACGTCGAGATGTCTTCTCTCGTCAGCTCAACGAAACGCTACAAATGAAAGTTGTTATTTCCTCGCTTAGGGGGAACGTCTCGAACCCGGATTTAAGAAGTTACTGGACACTACTCATTGGTTACCGTTGTATGAAAAGATCGAAAGCACCAGTACGACGACCGAGTCACGTTCGCGTTCGTTACTTCTGTATCGAGCCGTTGCTTTGACATTTGGAAGGACGAAGAGGATCGTAAAATTCTCCACCCCGATGTTTTGTTTGAAATGCTTCGAAGTTTAACGGTCGTCGACATTTCATGCCCTCTGGCGAGCGGTCCGCTGCCAGCTACTGTAAACACCGCTTAATCGTGACAATACGAGATAATAACAATTACCGTCTCAGCGTTTCGTAAACAGTGTGAAACTATTATCGGTAAAATTACACCGAAACGACCACTTTAATTGCGAACAACCGACGCGGTGCGATCGATGGAACGTTTGCACGTACTCCCACAATTTCGTGCAGCCATGATGGATTAGGGGTGCTCGATTCTAAAACGACTAGCGATTATTTCCATGCGTGAACGATATTACTGTTGAGAGGCAGTCATATTCCCTATCAACCGAATAAGAAACTAATAAAGAGTAATTCGTTTACTATTCAATAGTTACTCAATATTTTTCTCCGTAACGTGAATGATAAATATCCTCACCTAATCTAAGAATTTTAAATTACGCATGTACGAGATATTAAGAGTAACTAGAGAAACGATTCTCCGTGTTATTTTTCAACTGATCAACTTTATGAAACTCCACAATTTTTTTTTTTTGTAAGAATTGCTTTGAAGAATGAATTACATTTTATAACAACAACTTTTGTCTCCCAGAAAATACTTCAGAAAAGGGCTCCTCGGACCGAATAGATGTTCAGGCCCCGATAAAGCTAGATCCGTCGTTGTATATGCATGTCGCCTGATTCATCGTCGAAACGCGAACAGGCTTCTCTCAATTATTTCTTTTTTTTTTTTATACAGTGGCCGAGAAACTAAGGTAGTCGACGAAGGTAGTCGACGAAGGTAGTCGACGAACGGCCACGACCTACGACAGGGTTCACTGCACGACGATTCGTCGAGCCACCAAATAAATTTGCTTTTCGAAGTTAGATTGGTTTAATTGCACCATTACTTGATACCGCGTTTCTCGCGGCGTTTACGCTCACGCCCGTGCCAATGAACTGTCTGTCGGCGGTGGTATACGCGACAGATTCCGGTAACGAGCAATGCAAACTAAAGTACTCGCGAATTCGACTTACGTAAACGCGTCGCTGTTCGAACACCGAAGCAAACAGTACCTCGCGGTTAAGAAGCTATATTTCTTTTAGGAATTTTCATCTCACATAACAAATAATTCTGAAATGTCAATGTTTCAATCGTGTTTTTCATCTAGCCGCGTGAAATTTGTTTATTCTTTATGATTCAACAGATCGTCGAACAGATTATAACGCTTGCTAAATCATTTTGCAATTACGATCACTTAATGATGTAACTTGCTATGTACACAACGGATTTATTAAAAGTCGCAAGTATCCACATGTACATGTTTGTACAGGTGAAATTTCAATGCTTTTATACATAGCACTAAGCATGTGAAACTAATAAGCACAATGTTTCTTGTGCATTTTTAATCATTCTTTTTTATTGATGTATCCAAATGAAATTAGTATGTGGAATAAAAGTTCTTAAACGGAAATTCCCTGAATATGTTGTACCAAATAAAAATGTATTTATATTCAAATTACCCAACTTTGGTCGCATACGTACTACACGCATGGATGATTTCGACATTCGCACGGTTATTTCATCGAAAGAGTACAACGAATATCTTTGTTGACGCACGGTCGTACGATTCGTGTCATTCCGAACCTCGCTAAGCCCCGTATATACAATCACGATTTATCGAGTCACGACTTCACGTTTACTTTTCGACTATAACATTTATCGCCCGGCGATAAATCCTTATCGATTTTAAAGAAATCGCGGCACCGTTTAGTTGCTGCATACGAAATGTCGATTTTTGTCAAGCTTAAAGGTAATTTTGTACATCCCAACGAAGGAAACGAAATCTGTTAACAGGTGGAGATCAATCTGTCAAAGATTTGCAGTTCCATTATTGCTGGTCGAACAAATTTTTTTGTTCTCCTATTTGAATATTAATTATGTGCGAATGAAACCTGAAGTTTCATGTAACGAATAATAGGAATATTGGAGTAATTTAGTTTCGCATACGAAAAGTGAAAAGGACGAGGAAAGTAAACAATATGTAAAAAAGACTGTATCGATGTAAGAAATATTGATTTCTAAAATTTAAAGTTAGTGATATTGGACACCGACCGTAAGGTAGACAGAAGGTGATTGTAAACGAGGCCGTTTTGAGACATTACTGAAAATAATCCAGTTCAGGCTGCGTAAGAGATAACGTCGAAAATCAGTCAATTTGTGATAATTCGTCATTTAGTAAACATTGGCGAAGTAAAGAAGTCGAATTGTCGGTTTCGTACAAACCGAGAATGGTTAAGCTCGATTACAGCCTCATTAGTGTAAAAAGAAATAAATCAACGAAAACTCAAGTACAATGTGATGATTACATTTCGAGCTAGTTTACTATGGCTTTTCAAATCTCTAAACTACGACAATCAATGAAATGCATCTAAAATTGAACGTACAACCTATATTAGCAAGAGCCTAATCTCTTTGCACGATAACAAAATTTTACCGCTTTCTGCCTACTCTCCAGATCTACCGATAGAAAATTTTAATTCTTCCGCAACGTAGAATCTATAAAAACGGTATCGACGAGTTTTACGACCTTCGAAACTTCAGATATTTATCGAACTGGAATATCATAGCTGGTCGATCGTCGGAGGAAGTCACATGGAAACCGCGTCGGTTACATAAATCTACGACGTTTTAAAACATGCTGGGCGAATTATGTATCATAGAATGTCATGCATTGAATTCAAACATGGACAAAGTTTTCGCTGAAAATGAATTACAGCACCGATTTTAATTATTGAACATTATTTTAAGTAGTTTTATATAACGTGAAACCAAAATGTGATTCAATTTAAAAATTGAAGATTATTTGAACTCTTTCAATAAACATTTGTTGTATTCAGTCTGTGAAGTTATTGAATGGTGAGACTTCAACGCAAAAGAAGTTGAACAATGCCAACGCTACATTTCTAATGTTATTGTATTACTTTAAGTGAACTTTTGCAGAATTGTCTGATGATGATTCCATTTTTAAATCCCACGCATAAAACGATATGATAAAGTGTGAAAATAAAATACATTTTTGATACCAACGATATTTGCCAAATTTGTCTGCGATTGACAAAGAAATGACATTTCATGTGCACCAACGCAATATTCGTACGTTTCGTCATCGTCGGAGGAAAGTCCCATGCGTCTGGAGAGACCGTGTCTTGCGAAGTCGCCAGTATTGGATAAAATTTAATCAAAATAACGATTGACGATTACGATTGAAACGAATAATCATCATAAATCGCTCGTGACGATTTACGATTACTGTGAACACGTGCTCGAGAATGTTGAACCAGAATTTTCTCGAAATCGATTCGAAATTCCCTCAAATATCAAAAATCCGTATATCCAAACAATTTCTAAACAAGACATAAACAGGTTATACTTTGTGGTCCATTTTTCCTATTAATCGCTATTATTGCTATAACGAACGATTTAATCGTTAATCATTGTGAGCGATAATTTTCAGCACTTGACTAACTTTAATCGCAATTTTTAATCGCATTCCCTAGTTAATATTAACCACTTAACGATTTTTCTGATGCTGATCGATAGAAATACTTAAAAATCGAAAAATGAGTATTTCGCACATTTCATGGTTTTATACGCTTCATTTTGATGAGAACAAAATTAATTTGAATATATACTAGTCTCTATATATGGATAAAATTCAATATAAGTGTTTGTCGAAAATTATAAACTGTTTCTATAAAAGCTTGTGAAATTTGGAGTGGATTAAAATGAAATCTATTATCAGTTATTCATAGTCGCAAAACCACTTCATAGGGTTATTAGCGACTCCGAGCACACATTGACAACATTCGATCTGGCGATAACGTGTGTTTCGCATATACGTCACAACAGCAAGCACGCGTGAAGCACGCCGAGACACATTTATCAAACTTATTTGTAAACAATGAAAGATTGAAGTTTAACGATCGAATAACGAGTGTCTAATTGGCTGATTTCAAGCTACAGAAAGAAATTAACGGATAACTTTCTGGTGAGTACCGAGTCAAATATATTTCTTCCCCAAACTATAATACTGTTGATTACAACTTTGAAATGTCCAACTTACATCGTATTAGAGTAAAAATACAACAACGTACGAGTATACTCGGATGAGAGCGTCAAGTGGTTAATTATACGAGAATTCGTCGTTACTAATGCTGAAAACTCTGGAATGAAGTAGAGTTACGTTCGATGCTTACCTTGTCGGCCGACGATCTCTGCCACGTGCTCGCTGCTAGGCACCGGCACGCACTCGGTCATGTTCTGGCTCTTCTTAGAACGCGCTTCCTCGAAAACGCCTGCTGGTGTCGTTTGCATTGGATCTGGATCGTTGGCAGTCCCAGTTCCGGTACCTGTGCCGGTCCCTGGACACACAGGAGTACCCTCGAGACCAAGCATAGATAATTCTAATGCCAATTGCAAGGCTCGCTGGTCCTCGAGGGAAGCGGCCGCACCGCCATTCGCTCCGCGGTCCATTTCGCTGAATAAACTCGTCGGCATCTTGGATCGACTAAATTTCGCGTTTTATCGCACTGACAAAGTCAATCGGTATATGCACGTGTGTGTGTATCGTACTGGGTGTAAATCACAGAGTTTCTCACTATTCCTCCTCTCGTAAGTACCCTCCTGACCCGTCCTCACAACCTGTCGTTTTTCTGCTGTACGATTTTACGCTGGTCGCTGAATATTCGGCCGAGACGGTGAAATTGTTCAGAGACGTCCACGTGGATAGAGTCCGTATCGAAACGATCGGAAAACAACGAAACACACGCGTGTACACACCACACACTCGATTATTTCGGACGAGGGACTAGAGTGTCGTTCACACTGAGAACCGTGCCGGTCACGAGGAAAATGTATTTAGGAATAAACGACGATGCACCGTACAAAAATAAAATCGTTGACTCCGCCGGTGATCGCTCTGTCTTCTTCGTTCCTTTCTCGTGTATACGAACGCACGGCGTGAGTGTGGTTCGCACACTGGAAACGTGTGGGCTACTCGTAATCTCGCGTCTCGTCCACGATCGCCGCGTCCTTCTTTCGTCGATCGCTCTCTCACTCGCGCGCTTTCTTTCACCGCGTTTAAAGCCCAGCCGACGAAAACGGCTTTCCTCGAATATCTTGCACTGTGGTCTAAACTGTTCGTAGAAGTTTATAGAGCGCGACCTACAATCTTCAATGTCGGCGCTCGCTATGCTCGTGTGATTTCTGTTTATATATTTTCACGTGTCTCTTTAAACCGATATACGTGTTTATAATTCGTTCGTTCGTCCTCTTTCCTCTCGTTCGCTCTCGTTCTTCCCTTCGATGGGACGACGTTAACGTAACGTAACGTAACGTAACGTAACGGCGCGTGATCACGTTTGGGAAGCTTCGTCACCGACCGACTGACTAAAGCGTCCGAGAGCGTCGTCGCGCGACTGAAGCACTGAAAACGGAGGCAAGGGGAGCCGCGCTCTCTCTTTCGGTTCCTTCTTTCTCTCTTTACCTCTCCCTCACCGCGAGATCTTTCCTTTCGAAGGCAGGCGCGTGCAACTACCCTCTCGCTCGTGTTACCACTGCGACTGACTGCGACGTACTGCGACTGCGGGTGCTACAGCCGGCGCGCCGCCATGTGCCGGACGCCGGCTATGCGTCCCGCTTATTGGTCGACAGGGTCACGTGGCACCGTACCACCCCTCCCCGCCACTCTACGGCCAATCGGCGCACAAAGTGATAGCGCACCTACCGGCCGAGAGCGCCGCACTTCGTTCGCCTCCGGATACGGGCGCGTGCACTCGTCCCTACCGGCTTGCAACCCCCTCCGTGTTACCGCTCGTACTCTCGAGCATTCGCGAAGTTTCCCTATGGATCCGCGATAGAACGCCGGCTGCACCACCGATTTTCCACGGCGGTGATTGCCGAGCCCGGGACTGCCTGGGATACGTAGCTCCATCTCTTCGCGATGCCACGAGATGCCTGGATCGGGGGGTGCAGTTCCATTCCGTCGGTGTTTGGGTTCTGCTAATTTAATTATTCACCGCCAGTATCCTCGCCGTGGTTCTTTGGGCGCAATCTTAATTAGCGATTATGCCGTGCTTCTTTCCACAGATTTAAACAGACACCAACTTTCTTCTTTTTATCTTTGTATCTGTATCTATTTTATCTTTTATCTCTGTATCTTTTTTCGTTAACGGCTCCAGTTCGCATCTATTTATCCGTTACCGAGAGATGAATGGTATTTGTTAGGTGTGCAAATTGATTCTGTGCGTTTATAAATGTATAATGTCTCTGATAACCAATTAGCTGTTCACAGAGAAAAAAATTCGTCCCATAGAGGGTTAAAATACAAATCTTCCAAGTCCTCAACTTGATCTCCATGAATTTTTATGGATAGATCAGGTCTCAATTTTACTTATTCTTGTTTCTCTAATAGATTACAAGTGTCCTTGATAATTATAATAATTCCAAGAGTAGAGTAATAAGCAAAGTTTTAGATCTACTGAAATTCATATAGATGCATCGTAATGTCCATCAGGTTCTTGATTCTTTCTAATTTCATTCCATAGCTATGCCATGTGAGTATATGCGTGCCATTGAGTTCCCTTGTATCTTACGGATATTACGCGCAAGTGTAAGAAATATAGCGTTACAAGTATTGTTGTTAAAGTTTATGATTAAATTTATGTCCCCCGTTGTCTGGATCGTTTTAGTTGACGAAGAATTCTGATAAATAACTCGCCGAGGGATCAAATAAATACCCTGCACAATAAATAAATACCGCATTTTCCGCGAGCGTTGGTAGCTTGCGTCTTATCGTTCACGGCGCAGCTCGCGATCCAACACCCTTTTCTCGGTGCATACCCGTCAACGACCTCCGCCTTGCATATAGGGTGCCTAGCAAACCCGCTCGACGATACTTTTTCGAGGTGCGTGCAGTCATTGCGGCACATCCGCGCAAGGGAAATGCAACAGGAAGGAAATTTACGACTCTCGAGAAATAATAGCAAGGCATCGTTCGAAGTCGTAAACCGAAGTTGGATCGTTTGAGACTCCTATCACGCCGTAAATTAGACGCGACGTCAAGCGTATTTCAAAGGGAATCTCGGCTGCGCCACGGTATCGATACGAAATGTAAGATCCACTGCCTCGAGACTGCAACTTTGTACGGTTTAATTACACGCCGCTCTGCTCCTCTTACTACGAGTTTACGAGCCTGCCTGCTTATCCCGAGAACTTCTTCGTTTCTTTATTATTGGTCGTTAGTTGACTCAAAACTCCGTGCATTCGGAATTAGCGCAACGATCGGCCAGTTTCGGTCGAGGTAGTTAAAAATTCCTATTCAATCGCGTATCCCAAGTGGAACCGATGATTTTTTGATGGGATGGTATTCGCGATATGATGGATAAAGGTGAGCTGCTTAATGGATTCCTGTCACATAGATCACTCCTCCTCAATTTCTTAATCGTTATCGAACACAGGCGCATAGTGATGAAGTAAATAACTAAGTATAAAATGAATGAGTGACTAAGAGGATGAAGAAAATATTAACGTAGGTGATTGTTTTATGCTTACAGTCAGTCCTATAAGCATTCGCATCTTCTATATTCCTTCTATGTTCATTGAACAAATTTGTCTAAATATATACATATGTGAAATTTATTCATGTACATATTCATAACGAAACATTGATTTGGAAACATCAAACTAATCATTTAATTTAGATACGTTTCTTTAATAGACATAGAGATCTTCCTTACACGATGTTTTACAGCTCAGATCGCAGTTATTTAAATAAGAAGCTAAGATAAATACATACAACTCCTATAGTTTGCTTCGCGTTTTGATTTTTGTTATAATATTTGTCTGGTGTATTCTAGACTGCAGTTGCTATAGACGTAGCTACAGAAAACGTAGAAAAATAAAAACTAAGTCGCGTCTGGATGATCGTCAACTATCGTTGGTTCTCTTTAAGAAGACTGGTTTCGCTTCCTTTGCAAGGCATATATAGATAAACGCGATCCAGTGAATAAAATGTGCATTACGAATTCATAAAAGTCGTAGAGCTGTATCAAGAAAATTCAATAATTATTTACTTTTGTCAGCTTTTTCTGTTACGAGTAATACGAATAATCACTGTTTAATTATTATTTTTGTACATGGAATATTTTCATTTCGTTTACTCGTCGATTTTTTCCTCGACCACATTTTGTATTATTTTGATTTAAAAATATACCTTCGAAGAGGTACGATTCAGGAAACCGATTGCATAATCGTTCCTTATATACCGCTAGCTTACACAGACGCTTAAAACGAATTACATAATTTGTCCTTGATAAAAGATTTCACGTGTAATACTAGAGTAAGTGTCATAATCGCGCAACAATCTCTGATATTAATTTGCGTGCAAATTAGTACCACACGCGAGATTCGAGATGAAATGACGTAAGCGATCCCATTTTGGCAGCTCTCCCCTATAAACGTACGAAGCAAACAGAATAGAACTTCAGCTGCGATCGATACCGAACGGACAATGTCAATCCAGCACCGACAGAAACGTCTCAGCTTGTTCGTACACGTTGGCCCGCGCTATAGCGCGGTACAATGGTTAACTTTCCGTAATCGAGGTGAACCGGGAGTATCTTCGCCCCGTATCGCCTGCGCTAGGTATATAAACCTCGTATTCATCGTCCTTGAACTCCGTCTGCGATTATTCCGCGGTCGCCATTCGTCGATCTCGCGATATTTCCGCCGTAGGTTCGCAATTAACATAAGCGCGCATCTCGGAAATCAGCTGGCCGTTAATTCTTGCTGAAAAAGCCATTAAAATTCCATTCTCATCGGTGCAATGCAAGAAACGTAGCCGTTACGTGTGTCGAGGAGCACACCCGTTAATAAAAGCAACGGCTCCGTTCTCGGTTCTCTTTCAAGTTCGTGCTGCGATAAATTTTTAAAAGGGACCAGTTCAGAGCGCGTGTAAAAGCGAACGAGGTAAGAAGCACGTCTCCCACCTTTCTTCTAGTTGTCGAAAGTGGCCGATACGTCGGACTTCGAGGAAGTAATTGCTCCCGCGATACCTGTAACCTCTTAATCCGCAAATCACAGCCGCAGCGGTCGAGTCTCCGTGCACCTGCGACGAGAGTGAAAAGGGGAATTCGGTCTAAACCCGTCTAAATGCTCCATGGGACCTTGAACCGAGGTGCAACCGTGCTCCATTGTTCTCTGCCGACGACCCTACGTTCCCCCGGTCGAGCGATTGCTCGATTTTTAGTCGGGAGGCCTACACGATCGGGATCGTGTCCTCCATTCTCGAGGACAGCCCCAAAGACGCTCCAGAGTAATTCTGAAATATCAGAAACTTTTATTACCCGCGCCCCGGTATACGAATATAATATATTTTAACGTTTATGGACGTTCCCCGGGCGAAAATTTGAACGCTTTTAACGTCCCGTTGTCGTAAACTTTATTTTCGCCCGTTTCGACTTAAAGAAGTAGGTGCGCTTGATGGGAGACAGGCAAAAATTCTGTCGGCCATTCGGTGGTCTCATTTCATGGACGCTTGAAATTGAGAAACTCCGTTGATTTATTTATTGCTAATCTTTTTGGGAGTGAGAAGCATGATTTATATATTTATTTTAACACTAAACCTACCGACATTTATTCGTATCTATTTTTACCGTGTCAAGATTGTTCAAATAATAAATACATTGGTATTTTTTTTTTAAATTTAATTTAGAAAATCAGGCTTCCACGGGTTAATTATTTTGGAGTATTTCTGTATAATGTTACACAGTTCCGAGACAAACATCTTCTTCGTGTATTCATAACTTCAGAACAGTTACCAAAATGCCAAGCTTTTATTAATACACAATGCTCCATTACAATGCTCTTCATATTTCCAATTTAATATTATATTCCATTCCAATATAATTCTATATCACATCAGTCACATATGTTTGCGCACACTTTCCAAACCACTGACTGGTTAATTAACCACACATTGCCGAAAAGAACCCATAGATCCGTGGATCCTTTTCTCAGGGAGCTCCTCCATTAGCGTCGGAATCGATCAACGGGACAAATCGTGTAAAAAAGACGAGAGTATCCCGCCAAAATCGAGACGTTATGGTTACTTTACTGTACACGATAACTCGGAGGCATTTACGAGCTGGCCAGAAGTCGGCAGGTGCTCGTGGCAAAAGGTGGCCGTCCACGAGACAGCCTTGAGAGAGCGTGCACGGGTCGTTGCTTTCGGCGAACGATGAGAAACAAAATTAGTCGCCTTTGCCGAACGAGCTCGCGTAGATCCCGTTCGCGAGAAAGTTTCGGGCAACGGGCGGATACCTTTGTTCTTTCTCGCCAGGCAGACGGTAATTTGTCGAATGACTGGCCGTGACCAGCGGGCAGGTTTTCGGATTTTTTCACGATTTCGGTTCAACAGATTCCTGCGCCCGTGTTATTTATTATGCGCTCTCGTGCGCACCTTTTCTCGAATAAATGGTAAACTTAGAGGAGGATTTCGAACGGTGAATTTTTGTGTTCTTTTTCTAGAAGAATGTCTTGTCATTCTTGTGATCCTAGAGGACTTCTACCTTAGACCACGGCGATGTAAAA